TGAAGCAAAAACTCCAGCAGCAGATGCTTTACAAAGGAACAATGAGGTAGATCACTGGATTCGCCAGATTGAACTACAGGTGTCTGGTGATGCTGCAAGAATCCGTGCTGCAAGAATACACTGTCGAGGAGATGCAGAAAGGGTTATTAATGCCCCCTTGTTCGATGATCTCCAAGATTGGAGCCTGTTTGCTCAGCGTCTTAGATACAAGTTCTTCCGTCTCAGAATTTTTACGACAGCTTTCCAGTGTAAGACTCAGGGAATTCCAAAGTCCACAGGATTTCATCATCATCTCCCTAGCCGTTTGGCGGCCGTGGGTGCACCCATTCGTAGACAGCTTTTCTCCATCCTACCCAATCTTTCGCCATTCTGTTGAGTTGGATACTTTCCTTCCCACTCCATTCTTTCAGATTACCCATCCAATTCCCCTGTGGTCTTCCTCTTCCACGTCCCCTCCATTCCTCCCTCCATCACCGCTCTTGCTGTTCCTCCTACTCGAACACATTGGCCAAAATACTTCAGTTTCCCTCCATCACCGCTCTTGCTGTTCCTCCTACTCGAACACATTGGCCAAAATACTTCAGTTTCCTTTTCTTTACTATATCAACTAAACCCTCTAGTTCGTATCCACATAATTCTTTAATCCTGTTCTTCACATATTCATTGGTCTTCTTTTCTTTCCATGATATGCCCAACATTCTTCTATATGTTTTCATTTCAAATGCTTTCATCCTCTGCTCGTCACTTTTACTTACTGTCCAACTTTCGCATGCATACAGGAGAGTAGCTGTCACAATCAGTCTCATCAAATGCAACTTGTTCTTTATTTTTATATTCTTTGTTCTTTTTTATATTTTTTGCCTTGCAGATGTTATCCAGCTTTGCTAGTGCACTTGTGGCTCTTCCAATTCAAGAGGAAAAATGGAGGCACTCGATGTGCAGCGTGGGGATGCGATAAATCCAAACTGAAAGACAATATTGGAGTGTTTAAGTTTCCAGATCGGGAGAGATCGCAGGACCGCTTCCGATTTTGGTGTAGTTTGGTTAGCCGTACTCGGAAAGATTTTAGATTCAGTAAAGGAACGTCGCGGTTGTGTGCCGATCATTTTGATTCCGATCAAATCGAGAATTGGATGCGCATAAAGTTAATGAAGGAGGAAGACCCAGTGGCAGCCAGAAAAATTCATTGGAGACTGATACCACACGCTAGGCCCAATCCATCCCTCTTCCCTCGGCCAGTGCAGGATCGACGCCCCAACCCAAGCAGCCCCCGTAAATAGGTAATTCCGTCGAGCCAACTCGGAGGAGGCCTTGGCCTTGGGAAACTACTTCAGAGGACATGGAGATCACAAAACGTCCCAGAAGGGTTGCTGCTGCAATCAGAGAAAGGAAAAGGGTAAGGCCTAGGTTGTTTTATTGGCTGATTTAGAATTCGGAGGCCGAATTCGAAATCCGTTCCTTTTTGAGGCCCAGGGCCTTGGACATGCCGAATATGGGCATAGAACACCCCCTATTTATTTTTTTAACCCATTGCCGCCGGGAAAAATGAACAAAAAATGGGGGAAATGCAGTACTCATTTTTTTTATTTTTGTGAAATATCTCTGTTCATAGATGGCTCTGTTAGTCCTGATTTCACCTTACCTTGAATTGGCGGGAAAAAACGTATTTTTACTAGTGCTATAAATATAGATGGTGTTACTTTTAACAGCAAATTAGGATAACGTTAAATATTTTCGTAAATCGATGAAAAGGGTGAACGGGCGAGACAGGCAGTACTGTAATTGCCCCATTGGATACTTAGTACAAGTGTAGCCATCTATGTGTAAAAACAATCGAACAAGTCGACTCACAGTGGGCATGGTATGTACGTACATGCCATCCCTGGCGGCAATGGGTTAAATGAAGTGAATGGTCATGATGGTGGCAGCCTGTATAGTGGCATCCCTATTATTATCGAAATATTGCTTGATGGGGAAGCACAACTCATGAGATGTCTTGGGAATAGGAAGGAGAGGTTAGGCGTGCTTGGCATTGACCCCCCCCCCCCCGCCTAGGCCATATGCATAATATATGGCAATGCATGCTGAATATTATATTTTTCATCTTATTCTTTCAGCTCTTGAAGATGCTCAGACAGACATGGCACAGAAAGACCTGGAGATGATGGCTCAACAAGATGCAATTTCAGACATGATGGATATTGATGTAAGAGAGGTCGCTGAGGGGCATGGCCTAGAGACTGGCAAATCCAAGGTAGGCAACATTGGTGTCATTCAATTCCTGGCATGAAATTTGAGTGGCGCTGCCACTAGGTCTACACAGTACACCCCATGGGAAAATTCAAATTTTAAAAGTGTAGGCCTGCCAAGGCCATGGAACAAATTAAGGGGTATCACCATGTCTCTTTTTTTCAATTTTAAAACATCTTTTATTTTTCAGGTAACAGAGATATTCACATCCAAGTGAACAGACGGCCAACTTATCGCTCTACCAGGGTTCAAGTCTGCCCAAAGACATTTTCCCAGGGTAAGTTTATCTTTTCAGACGAAATAATCAGTATGAACATTTGTTTTGTTCCTGGACACAGAAATATCAGTATGTTAGAAAAGTCATATTACAGATAATTTTCGGCCACCAAAAGACGTACGAGTACTAGTTATCTCCACTTTCATAGATGTACTAGTATTAGTACGTTTTCGAAAGGGCCTGAGGAAGGCCCTGGTGGCCGAAAATTAGCTGTAATATGACTTTTCTCACATACTGTTTTGTTCCTGCATATACATAATTATTTGACATCTTTTTCTTCACAGGTACTCAGATCCTGTTGTATTTATGTTCTTGTACTGAGAGGGTCTCACTTCCAGTCGACCCTATTCCATCTGATGAGGAAGAAGAGCCAGTCAACCAGAATTCAGACCCTGATTATAACCCAGAAATTGTGAGAAATTGTTTACTGATGTTACTAGTGCATGTCGGCCGGCTGCCTGTTTATCTAGAGTTTTTATGTTCTTTCTGCGATTTATTTTCAGGAAGGATCCTGCCTCGGAAAAGAAATATCTGGTGTTCCATTCTTGCCTGATGGCTTTATTTGCTATCTGTGCTTTGTGTTCTTGGTTGGCATCTAGAAAAATCAGAAGGGTCGGAACATTTATATCTGTGGATCAGAGGTGTACTAACAAGGAGTGTAACTTCAGGAGGTAAGTGCGAAAATTCAATTCAGTGGTTTTATTATTGAGGACAATAATATTATTATAGCAGCTATGATCTATAGCCTTTTAATTTGAAATTGAAATCTACCCTTTCCATTTCAGGAAATGGAGTAGTCAGCCAATGTATGGAGAGACTGTGCCTGCCGGAAATGCCTTGCTATCCAGTGCAATATTGTTTGCCGGAGCCATTCCTTCCAAAGTGCTTCTGGTTTTAAAACACCTTGGCCTGCAGATCATGTGTAGAAATACATTTTTCACGTATCAGTCAAGGTATCTGTGGCCAGCTGTTGAAGCAGTCTGGAAACGTGAGCAGCATGAAGTCTTGGGAGCCGTGAAAGAGAGAGCAACGCTACTTGTAATAGGAGGTGATGGTCGCGCTGACAGCCCAGGGCATTCAGCAAAATACAGTTCCTATTCTCTGATGGATCTCGACACAAAGAAAATTTTGGACATTGAACTGGTGCTGGTAGGTCACTTGTCTTTTCTCAAGGAGGGGGAGGGCGGTAATGGAACTTACAATAATAATATTTTCAGACCATTTTCAATTTTTTCTTCTTTCATTTTAGTCCACAGAAGTAAAGTCGAGCACTCACATGGAGATGCGTGAAATTTTTGAAAGAACTGAGCCTGGCTATTTATACAATAGTTACAGACAGACATGTGCAAATCATCAAGTGGTTATGTGAAGAGGTGAATGAAACAAATTATTTTGATGTCTGGCACCTTGCCAAAAGTAAGTCAATGCTAGTGCTAGTCACAACACTAAGTTGGACCACTCAACTCTGTGTATAAAGTAAAAGTTATTAAATTGGTTATTGTGCATTTCAGACTTGAAGAAGAAGATCCTCAAAATCTCCCTTGAGAAAGACTGTGCACTGGCAGCTGAATGGTGCAAATCAGTGATAAATCACCTCTACCATGTGGCAGCCAACACTCCTGGAAGCAGGTGAGATTTTATATTCATGTTGGTCACCAAAACAATAAGCCTACTTGTCAATGAGCATGAAATTTACTACCAAGTAATTCTAACTTTTTATTTTCAGGAACCAAGGTGTCGTGCAAACTCACAAAACTGATAACTGCCACCAGTTTTGTCAAAGATGTTGGGAAAATGTCGTGCAACAAACAGACATCTGGCCTTTAGGCCTTTCACAGTGTCATAAATCAGTTTGGGCCAAAAATGTTCCATTTCCATCATGACGGCATGGCCAGCTGGTAAGTGTGATGTCCAGTACTTCTGCATAATTTTTTATAATTGATCATGTTTAACCAAGATAAGACCAGACTTTTTTAAGAGTTGTTTTGCTGACTTTTTATAATATTAACAATAAATTAGTAGTTTTGTTTGGTATCTCGACTGCTTGCAAGTGGGCGGTAGGCCTAGTGGGCTTGAGAAAACTCGTGAAAACAAATGTTCTTTTAGCATGAAAAATCTGGCCTGATAAGCCTGCATTTTTTAAAAACAGGGAGCAGGCGGTCACTCAATCAGGTGTAGACCGGTGGCAAGTTATTTTTCCTAAAGTGAAGAAAGGAGGCTACTCTGTACGCTGCATCAAGAAAGCAAGCACGTACAGTAAGTATTACCAAAAATAGATAGTCACTGCACTGACAATTGCCAAATCAAATGGAACACCGCAAGTTAGACTGAAATATTTACATCCATCTACAACTGTACCTTTATCTGGATCAGTGACAGTGAATAACACTACTGGCAGTTCAGTGCAACAAGTTCCACAATACATGTAAATTCACAGCAAAGCCATTTTGAAAAAAAAAATCACTAAGTACTTCTACTCTAGGTGATAACCTTTTCTGAATGATCTTAAGCAAAACCTTGGATGCATGACTAATCAAGCTAATTGCTTGGTGTTCTGAACACTTCCTACTGTTTGCCTTTTTTGGTATTGTTATCAACAGACTATCTGTCCACTGACTTGGCCATTTTTTGGCCTCCGCTATTGTGTTGCATAGCTTTTGAAGTACTTTTGCTGTCACTTCTCCATCAGATTGTAATAGTTCCGCTTGGATGTTATCCACACCAGGTGCCTTGCCCTTTTTTAATTCTTTAATCGCAATCTCTACCTCCGATAGTAAAATCTCTTCTCTCATATCATCTACTTGTACTGACTCGCCTAATACTTGCAAATCCTTTTCTATCTCATAGTTGTACAGTTCCTCACAATATTCCTTCCACCTCTTTGTTGTTTCATCAACTTTTGTTAGTAATTTGCCTTTGCTGTCTTCGATTACATTTGCAGGTTTTCGTTTTATTTCAACAATCTGAGTATCAGAGTTTGTTTACCACTGCAAAAGCCGCCTTTGTATTATTTCGGTTTATATTATCATCTATTTCTTTTGATTGATCTTCAATCCAGTTGTTTTTGGCTACTATTAGTGGATTTCTCACCTTTCTATTTGTTGTCCTATACTCTGCTAGCTCTGCAGCACTTAAATTTCTCTTGTTCCGTTTCTTACGTCTATCATCACAAATTTCGATTATTTCCTTTGTTAACCATATTTTTTTTTTATTATTCTGGATTTTCCTAACTTTTCTTCTGCAACTTTTCCTATAATGTTGGTGAATTCATCACACATAGTCTGTGGATCTTGATCTACCAGAAATAGTAGTGGTGCAAATCTACCAGCTAATTCTTGTTGATATTGCTCTACGACAGTAGCATCTTTTAGCCTATTCAGATCATAGTATGTTCTACTAATATTGTTGCTTTTATTTATTTTTAGCTTTATCTTCATTGTCATCACCACCAGTCACAAATCTTCTTGAGATGAAGATATAATCAATTTGATTATGTATCATTCCATTTGGTGAATGCCATGTAGTTCTTCTAGATATTTTGTGATTGAAGAGTGTGTTTGTAGCAGTTAGTTGATGTCTTTTTTGCAAACTCTAGCAGTTTCTGACCTCTTTTGTTTGTTTCTCCAAATCCAAACTTTCCAGTTGTTCTTTTCCATGTTTCGTAAGCATCCGTCCCAATCTTTGCATTCCAATCTCCTTGAACTACTAATATGTCTTTCCTGGGGATTGTCTTTAAAAGTTTTTCTAGATCTTCATAAAAGTCTTCGATCATATCATCACTGCATTCGCTTGTGGAGGCATAAGCTTGGATAATACTCAGGTTAAACGGTTTTCCTGCTATTCTGATTGCTGCAATTCTCTAACTGGTGTAAACTCCATCACTGATTTTCTTGTGTTCTTGTTAACTAAGAACCCAACTCCGTGAATACTTTTCTTGTCGTTACCACTATACCATACTTTATGATCATCTTCAGTTGTTCCCTCTCCAATTCCCTTCCATCTCATCTCAGATATTCCAAGCACATTCCATTCCATGAAAGTGCCGTCCTCTCGGGCTGGAGGGATTGTCGTGGTGTCACAGATAGGCCACGAGAGCTGATTAAAAGAACCTTTATTGAAGTCTTACCCTTCTGGTTACAGGAAAGTATTGCAGGGCAAGAGGATAGAACACTTGATAATCTGGCGACTGTAACAACATGTATATGGGGTATCTACCAGAGAGCCCGAAGAGGTAGTTCTAGGTATGTACCCAGGTTTACAGCATCCCAGACTACAAGGCTCCAAAATACAAGGGTGGAACAAGAAACTGCTGCAGTTGGTGAACAACCATACTGTGCTTTTCACCGCCAACGAGGACATTCCACCCGTGACTGCCGAGAGAAACCAAAAGGGTATGTATGCTGGGGATGTGGTCAATCTGGACAGAATCGGAATAACTGACCCTGACAGCAACTTCTCATCGGGCTCCCAAAGAACCACTCCCGAATTCTAGATAAGCTGGTAGACCCATGATACATCTACATGTGAATGGTGTCAAGTTAAGGTGCCTGATAGATACAGGAAGTGAAGCGACACTTCTGAAAGCATCCACACACAGTAAGATCTCTCTTAAACTTTACCGTAAACCAAGTAGAAAGCTCTTAGGAGTGTCTGGAACCAATTTGGATGTGCAGGGTGAGTGTAATGTCCGAATCCACTTATCTGAGGAAAAGTCATTCGCTCATCGAGTTTGTGTTGTCCAAGGAATCAGTTTCCCAAATGATTTGCTGATTGGTATGGATGTGTTGAGGCGTTTGGAGTTAAGTTACCAATAACTTTTACAGACTACCCTAGTCTCAAAGTAACGGTTGTAAATGTGGCAGAGGCTGAAGTGGGAAAAGTGATCAAAGAAAATGTACACCCCAAAGCTCGAGAGTGCTCTTCAGTCACCCTTCAGCCAAAGTCTGGTCGCTTCATTTTGGCAAAAGTACCTTCTGTGCTTGGAAAAGCCTTCTAATGATGCTTTAGTTATGCCTTAAAGTGTGGGTACTCCGACTAATGGGACAATTCCTATCTGGGTAGTTAATACCAGCAATAAGCCACTTAGGTTAAAGGGAGGAACTCTGCTTGCAGACTGATGCCGCCGCCGCCTTCCCTGTGTCCAGTCCGTCGAATGCTGCCGCCGCTGCCGCCTTACCTGTACCCAACCCACCTGACATAGAAGAGGTCGTCAACTCCAATTTTGACTTTGAAGAAGATGGCTTTGATTTACTGCATGGCCAAATGGATTTTGGGTATGGTGAAGACGAGTTCCATGTTTTATCTGAGCTAAAATTTGACCCTGTTCCTGTAGATGTAACCTTACCATCATTTCCTGAGTTTGAAGAAAAAGTAGCCATGACTGGTTTTGATGCTGTGAAGGAGGAACCCCAGGTGAGTGTTGTTACGGCCCCAGCACTTACAAATCTTTTAGTCCCTTCCGAAGATAACCATAAAGAATTGCCATGCTTAGATCATTTGGAGGATCCTGAGAAGACAGTTTTTCGGGAGCTCTTGAGTAAGTACTCTGGACTTTTCAGTGCTGAAACTATGACATAGGGACAATTCCTGGTGTTATCCACAGAATACGAACAGGTGATTCCTCACTCACTGTTACAAGGCAGTGGAGGTTACCACAAACGGCCTGATTGACTATTCGTGGACATTGTAATGCAATGGCCAAGGCTGGTGTCATTGAACCCTCCACAAGTCTTTGGCTGTCACCAGTGGTTCTCGTTCGCAAGAGGGATGGTACAGTAAGGTTTTGTGTTGATTTCCGTACTATGAATGCAATAACAACGTCTGACTCTTATGCCTTACCCCAGATGCAAGAAGTTATTGATGACTTACACCAGAGCTGCATTTTCACGTCATTGGATGCTTGTTCCGCCTACTGGGCTATCCCTGTGGAACCTCAAGATCGACCCAAGACAGCATTTAGTGGTGGGGCTCGTGTGTGGCAATTCCGACGAATGCCATGTGGTCTGAAGACAGCCCCATAGACTTTTCAGAGAACTATCAATATAATACTATCTTCCATCTTAGGTCGCCACACAGCCGCTTACTGGACGATGTGGTTATATTTAGCAGATATACATAGGTGCAACTCAAACACTTAGAAGAGACTCTTGAATTGTTACACAGAGCCGGTTTGCGTTTGAACCCGGCAAAATTTGAGATAGCTGTAAGGAAATTAGCTTTTTGGGTTAGGACGTATCCCTTCAGCTGATACTTCAAAGCCAAGAAATTCCAACTGCTATAGCAGAAATGAGTCGCCCAAAGGATGTACGAGGAGTGCGCCGATTCCTTGGTGCTGCAGGATTCTTCCGCCGGCATATAGATGGGTTTGCAAGGTTTGCAAGCAGTTCCTTTGATTTCTTTGACAAGGAAGAACAGCAAGTTTATTTGGACTAGGCTCTCAAAAGACTGTTGGCATTCCTCAAAGTCTGCCTTGGTGTCTGCCCCTACCCTGCAAAACCCTAATTATGATAAACCCTTTGAGGTCCATTGTGACGCCTAAAAAATAGCCATTGGCGCATGCTTGATGCAACGAGGGCACGCCTCACGCTGTAGCCTATTTCTCCAGAAAAAAGAATGGGCCAGAGACTCGCTAAAGTGCCACTGACAGTGAGGCACTTTCTGTTGTAGAGGCAGTAAGGGCTTTCGACCCATAGTTTATGGACAGAAATTCACTGTGTATACTGATCACCGCCCACTGGTGTATGTGTTTATCAGGAAGACCAAAAGTCCAAGGATGTCTCGATGGTGTATTGACCTGCAACATTATAACTTTGATATCTATAAGAGAGGAGCTATACACCATGTACCAGATATGATATCAAGAGGTGAAAGCTCCGCAGTTGCTGCCGCCACAGAGATACTGGAGGATAATGACCCACTGGTTTTGCATGCAGAACAGCTAAAGAACCCTACCTGGGCACAGATAGTCGAGTACCTGGAGGGTGGATTAGTTCCAACTGCAAAGTTACCAGCATCCTTGGCTGAATTTGAAGTTGGGAATGGGGTCTTGTACCATTTGCAGGACTCAGGTGACCGGATTCTTTGCAGGGTTGTTGTGCCTCGCCATCTAAAAGAGTCAGCATTACGTCTGCCCCATGCTTCACCCCTGTCAGCACATCCAGGTATATTCAGAACATTTAATAAATCCGAAACAATGTTCTATTTCCCGAATATGCTCTCTTTTACTAACCAGTTTAAGACATTCCCAGATTGCCAGCTGAAGGCCACTCCAGCAAAAATGCACCACTAGCTGCAGCACAGAAGTTGCCCGTCCTCTTGAAAGGGTTTCAGCAGATCTGATTCAATTACCACCGACAGAAAGAGGAAATATTTATACCTTAATGATAGTTGACCACCTATCCTGTTACGTGGAGTTAGTACCTCTGCCTGATAAGCGAGCAGAAACTATTGCCACTGCATTCATTGACAATTTTGTTACAGTGTATGGGCCACCACTGGAGTTGCAGGCAGATGGGGGAGCAGACTTTTATAACAACCTCTTGACTTCTGTTTGCCGTGAACTCCAGGCAAAATTTAAGTTGATACTGCCGTACAATCCTCAAGCAAACGGCATGGTAGAGAGAACAAATAGAGTGGTAAAGGAAGCTCTGACTGCTCTTTGTGACCAGGCTGCTTATTACTGGGATGATGTTCTTCCTCAGGTGAGGTTTGCTCTAAATACTTGTATACACAGCTCTGTAATGGACCAGCCATTACATTTGTTCCAGGGTCACCCAATTGATGTGCCCATAGGACTGACTATGAAATCGGTCTACGATTATGCCGCACCACATATCTTGCGGCATAGACTGCAGTTAGCCTGGACTGCTGCTCAGGAAGCATGCAGGAAAGCTCGAATGGGTTGGACCAGGGATTACGATCGGAAGGTCAGGAAGCATCTGTCTTTGAAGGAAGGATCATTGATTCTCGCAAAGGTATACAGGCGATCAAATACGCTGTCGCCCCGTTGTGAAGGCCCAGCTCGTGTTGTCAAGAAACTAGGGCCTGTTGTATTCCTGGTAAGGAATCTGTATGGAGAAGCTCGTGAGCGTAGAGTTCATACTAATTACATGAAGCCCTATTATCCACCCCAGGAATTGCATCTGCCACACGAGGCTGTAGATGACGAAACAGATCATCTGGAAGCAGAGGACCCCTTTGCTGTTGCCTTGCTTGCTGCTGCTGCTGCTGCTGCTGCTGTTTTTTTTTTTTTTTTTTTTAGAAGATAGCCCAATATATTCAGAGGGACGGGTTTGGCTAGAAAAGCTACCCGTAAGTGGAGTTGTATTTATTTACTAATTGTAGTTTATCTTGGAGGTGGGTGATCAAAAAGGTTCTTGAGATTGTTCTCTAAGAAGAGCTTTTTTTTATATAGGTTTGGGCTATTTCTGTTGCAGCATTATTGTCGTGGATGTCTTGAATGTGGAACTCCTCTGGTCTGATGTTTTGCAGTACGTTGCATGATAGTAAATAGTGCAGCAGTGGCTCAGATGTGATGCGATTGCAATGGGTGCACGGCCTGGGAATCCTCTCACTGATTTCCCAATTGCATCTGTAGCCTAATCGTAACCTGTGAATAATGACTGCTTGGAAGCGAGGAGTTTGGCTATTTATGGGAGGTGGCTCGTAAGAGGTGACATTTTTATACCAAGTTGCCGAAGGAGAACCATTTTGTACACATAATGTGTGTTAGTGTCGAGATAGTCGATTTGTTTTTTTTTCTTCAAAATGATTCTTAGTTGGTTGTTGCTGGGTGTAATCTTGGCACTAATAGTTGTTTGAAGGGTAGCTGCATTTGCAGCTCGGTCAGCTTGTTCGTTCCCTATGATGTTGATATGGCTTGGGATCCATTTGATGGTGATATTGGATCCCCTAGAATAGAGGGCAGTAATGTCTGCAAGAATGGTCGTTATCAGATATACATTATCTCTTGGCTGTTTACTAAGAACCTGTATGGCAGAAAGGGAGTCGGTATAAACTGTGATGTTGGAGGCTTCTATGGTGAGGGCAGATTCCAGCGCTTTATGTATGGCAAAAAGTTCTGTTTGTAGAGTGGAGCAGTTGTCGGAAAGTCTCCATGATGCTGTGAAGTTGGTGCAGTTGACAGCTGCTCCTGAATGTCCACTGCGCTGATCAACAGATCCGTCGGTAAAGAGGATTAGTGCATCTTCGGTTGATATGTTATTAATTTGTGATGCTATGTTTTTAAGTATGTTTCCATTGCATTTTGAATTTTTGGCAGGTAGTTTGGTAATTTCTGTCTGATAGATTGGAGAGGCCCATGGCGGTTGTTGTTTAAATCGTGGATTTGGGCATATTTCTTTGGCTTGAGAAAGTTGTTGGGCTATTCCACCAGTCCCGATAGCATTGATAATAGCATAGTGCCAACCTGATGATATATTAGTTGGGAAGGGTCCAGAGAGGTAAGGTTTGATCCGTTTTTTGTAGGCATATGGTTTGGAAGATACGAGTCCTTTGATCATATATGAAGCTGAGATTTGGAGAATTCTTGATTGTAGTGAACAAAGATGAGATTCTTCCCTGAGGTTTACCAGTCTTGTCCAAATGGGTGCACCCAGTATAACTCTCATGGCTTCGTTTTGTATGATTTCTAATTTTTCAATTTCTTTGTTGGATAGTTCTAAAAGTGAGAGAGCTGCAAAGTCGACGAGAGAACGGATGGCCTGTATATAGAACATTCTGAGTATCCTGAATCCCGCTCCAATCTTGGTTGAGGTTAGTCTTCTTAATGCTTGAGTTTTTTATTTGGTTTTGTTTCTGACATATGTAAGTTGGGAAGTTGAGTGTGGTCCGGAGGTGAAGATATGTCCTAAGCATTTGGCACTGTCAACCCAGGGAATCTTAATGTTCTGGATGACTAAGTGATCTTATGGTTTGAATTTAGTAGTGGAGATAGCAGATGATTTATCAGGATTAAATTTGAGTTCTAAAATGTTGCATCTTTTTGAAATTAGATCAAGAGCATATTGTGCATGGACCATTTGGAATTGACCGGTGGCGACTAGTTGTAAGTCGTCAGCATAACTGTATAAATTGGTAAGTTGTTCTACCAATAGGTTGAAAAGGAAAGGGCTGAGAATTCCGCCTTGTGGTGTTCCTTTCTCAAAGGTGAGTGTTTTTGAGAAATGTCCTTGAAAACGGATAGACGCTTTGCGTTCTGTTAGGTAATCAGAAATCCAACCTAAGAGCTTGCCTTTGATGCCTTTCTCAGCAAGAATTGCTGTGATTGCAATTGGGTCAGCCAGTTCGAAGGCTTTTTCCAGATCTAGTAAGACGAGAATTGCCTTATGACAATCAAGTCTGGATCTTAGTGAGGCGATGTTGTCGGCTGTGCCTAGTTTTTTAATGAAGGCAAACATATTATGCTGTAGATTTGGTATTTTATACAATAGGCGGTTAAGAATAATTCTCTCCATTGTTTTGCCAAGACAACTTGTGAGTGATATTGGTCTAGATGAAGTGGGATCTGAAGGCTTGGGGATAGGTTGAATAATTGCTTCTTTCCATGCTGTAGGGAGCTTGCATTTTTTATATGAATTGTTCATAATATGGAGTAATTTTATGTTTGATCATGTCATAATTGATGTTATCTTTTCCTGGTGCAGTGGCTTTATGGTTAACTGTGGCTTGTTGTAATTCGATTAGGGTTATTGGATGATCAGCACTGTCAGGTTCTTCTATAGCCTTCCTTATGATCTCTTGTCTTGTTGGTAACAGGGTGTTCAGGGCGTCAATAATGTTGGCTGAGAGATTATTGGAAGAAAATCTGTTAGCAAAAAGTGTGATGAGTCGATCTGCTTCTTCTTGTGGGTCAGGATGTGCTGGTTGCCTCGGACGACGGTAAGATCCTGTAGCTTTATTTAGTTGAGACCAAATTTCTTTTAAACTGGTGTGAGAGTCTAATGAGGCACACCAGGTAAGCCAACGTTCGTTTCTGATTTTCCAAAGTTCTTTTTTAACTGCTCTTAAGGTTTCTCTGAACAGAAGTAGGTTGTTATCCGAAGGTAATCTTTTAAGATTCTTTCTGGTAATGTTGATTCTATGATGGAGTTCTGCTACTCGTTCATTATAATACCAATGATCTTTGTATTGGCGTTTGTAAACTTTGGACAGAGGGATTGAGAGATTACCTGCTTCAGTGATGGCTGTTATCATATCCTTTTCTAAGGTATTGATCTCTGTTGTTTCGGGTGAGTAGCTATTTGCCCAGTTGGTCAAATGTTTTCTGTAGAGATTCCAGTTTGCCTGATCAGTCTTCCACCTCGGTTTTGCAGAGGGAACATACAGTTTTGGAATGGATAGGGTAGTGATGAGTGCAAAGTGATCACTGCTCAAGTGTGGATGAATTTTGGTGTTTATTTTGTCTCCGAGGTACGAGTTAACGAATATGAGATCAAGGACGCCTCCTTTAACATGAGTTGCCTCATTACTATTTATTAGTAGGAGATTTGGTGATGATGTCATAGCATGGATTATATGGTTTCCAGCTTTGTTATATTTATTTTGATGTGGATTGGTTGGATCATGATGGGCATTGAAGTCTCCTCCTATATATACTAAGTTACTTTCTGCAGTCTCTATAATTTCTCCCAGGTCAATGATGGATTCAGGTCTAGGTGGCCTGTAGATGTTGTATATGTCCATCAGTTCTCCTTGGACTTGGATAGTAACAGCAAGTGTTTCTATATGAGTTCCTATGGAAACAGGATGTCGAGTCATGTAGCTTGGTATGCTGCTTTTGATGAGTGAGACAAGACCTCTGTTATCACCTTGTTTGTAAGACTCGCAGTATATTTGGTAACCAGGAAACTTGATGTTTTGGTTCTCTTTGTGAAGAGTTTCTTGGAGGATAGCTATGTCAATGTCTTCATTGTAGAGGGAGTTGAGTTTTGATGCTGGAGATGTTCCACTGTAGAAGTTTAATTTGGTTGTACCAATTATCCATGTTTCACATTTATATATGAAGAAGGTGTTGTTTTATTAAGTGTTGGAGATGGAATCTCCAATCTTGGGTTCATTATTGTTTGATCTCCCACGGAATATAATTCCTGCTCAGCCATCATCTGTAAATTGGGGTATTTCTTCTTTAATTGAGCGAGTGGCTCTTCAGTGAAGTGGATAATATCAGCTTCTGCTAGAGATTCACAGCTTACTGGAGAGTGCGGGTCTAAGTCTTGATCCCCTGAGAGGGGTGATAATAAGTCTGCAGTGGGTTGTGGTGACTGTGGTAAAACAAGATTCTGAACTAGCTTGGTAAGGTGTACCAACATTTCGTTGGCTTTCATCATCAGGTTATTTAGTTATGAAAAACATGCAAGCTGTAACAGAAACCCTGATTCCATCAGTTGTGATGGAAAGGACTGTTGGGGCTGATGGGTATAATCTTTGTTGGCTGGCTTGATTATCTGCTTTGCTGGGGGAGACTCATTTGTTGTTGTCGTTGTTTTGGTGGGGAGCCCCCATGTTGCATTTCTAGGGAGAGCATTGGTCAGAGTAGGCCACTCCTTGGCGTTTCCAATGTCAGGGCGTTTAGCTTCTGTGGGTGGAGGAGGAGGATTTTGAGTTCGATTATAGGGACCTTGCTGGGCTTTGTTTATCCTCATTAACCTTTGTGGGCATTTTAGGTTCCATGCATGGTGCTTCTTCGGGCAATTGGGACATTTAGATTGTACTTCAGCCCCGTCTTTTAGTTTCTTCATGCAGGCCTCCGTTTCATGCTGTTGGGAGCATATGGCACATCGAATGGGGGCACGACATGGTTTTGGTGGTGGCCAAATCGTTGGCACTTACAGCATCGGAGAGGTTCTCTGATGTACTCTCGTGTCTGGAAACTTCCCAAGTTCCCAAGATCTATTCTTTCTGGTATAGAACCTTTTAAGGTTACCAGGATTTGTCTGGTTTCTAGTTTGGTTGCACGGGATACACATCTGACTGCAGAGACAACATATGGTAGATGTGTGATGGCATCCAGAGGGAACTCTATTGGGTTGCCTACCATGATGACTTTCTTAGTCATGTCCTCTGGGTCTAAGTATTTAAGACTGACATCCTTCTTGGATTGCAAAGTGACAGTAGAGGCCAGGTATTTTGCTGTGTGCTCATTTTTTGGTGTTAGTATGAATGAGCTGTCAGTGGTAACCTTCGTGGCTACTGCCAATAGAGGGTAGTCTTCCTCTATGGCAACTAGAGCGTTGTATGCCGACCGAAAGTGGGTGTTGGCCTTTAACATAAACTTCATCTTATCAAAGTTGGCAAAGTTCTGAATACTCTTCTCTGCATTGGTGGCATTTTCTTCAGTGTCATGGTTTTGGTCAATAATAAGTTGGTTGGAGTCAATTTCAGAGCGGGGTGACATGGAGTTTGCACCCCCACTCTCTGTTTCCTAAGGTGTCACATTGT